TTGGGGCGGCCCGGCATGTCCAGGTGGTTAGGGCGCTCGACTCGTAATCTGAGGGTCGCGGGTTCGAATCCCCATCACACCAAACACGCTCGCCCTTTCAGCCGTGGGGGCGTTATAATGTGACGGTCAATCCCACTATTCATTGGTAAAACAGTAGCCCAAGAGCTGGCGGTGGGTGGTGATGACTAGCTGCCTTCCCTCTAGTCTTACACTGCTAAATTGGGGATAGCGCAGATATCCCTCGTGTAGCTTTGCGCGAATTTCCAAACAAACCAAACAAAACTAAAGAAATGAATTAATAGTTTGAAAACAAAACATAACCTTTACAAATTACTTAGAATAAGAGTGGAAATATATTTCTTTAATGTCTCTCTCATTTTGAAAATCTGTTTTTAACGTTTTTAAGTCGGTAGGAAGGCAAGTATAACATCATCAGATGTGTTTAGAAAAGCTTACCTTATTGAGAAAAACAAAGTAGATTTAATTTGTAAAGTTTTTTATTCTCTGTTATAAAATAAAACCGTATTACAATTGTTATTGTCTAAATTCTTTAAATAATTAAAATCCAAACAGGATATCGGAACTTAGTTGATAAACAGATTAATTGCGTAATGAATATTTTCTAACTAAGTTTTCCTCATAACTGATCTCGTGTTTTAAAAGAATTTGTTTGCTTCCTTGATAAATTAAAAGGTTTTTCTTAACTTGATCCACTACTTCACATACATCGTAAAGAGATAAAGAAAATTTAAATATAGAACGTACATTTCAATTTAAAATGACTATTTGTTATATAAAGCTGTGCTCTGTGTTATAGGTTGATTTTGATCGAAGTGCTGAAACCGTTTTTCATTTGGTGAAAAGTTTAGTAAATCATACATACATAATTTGGTATTTAGAATTTTCGAGCTAAACGCTACATTATAACACACAGCACCATCGCCCACGGAGCTACTCTTGACCAAGTACTGGGATTTAATATCACAATCGAAATGATCCCAGTAGCTCAGTAGTTAGTCTGAAGACATTTTAGCGCTAAAAACCGGGTTTTGATACACCGGCTGGGCACAGCACAGATAGCCCATTGTATAGTTTTACGCTTAACGACAAACAAACAAACAAAATCAAAGCGTCTTCACAATCGAAAATGCAGAGCTAATTTCGTGGCTTATCGCGACTCAAACCTTGGACTTTCACAATCTGTACCCCATTACAGTACCTCTAGATTGCATCCGGCCTTTCATTACGTGAAGAAATGAGTAAAATAACAATGACAATGTCGTCTGACATACGTTGATTTAAATTGCCTTTTCTCAAAGTTTAGTTTACTTTTTCATAAAGTAAAATCAATATAATGGTTTTACTTTACACAAAATAATGCACTGAGTAAGTTAAGAAGAAGTAAATAACTCTCATAGGCAAGTTATATCTACGAGTAAAAAAAAAGAGATATTTCTTAATTAAATTCGGTCTTTAGATTAGGAAATGTGTTTAATTTTAAGGATGAAGTTATGTAGAGTAAGCAGTCTTTTTTTTCACAAGTTTAAATGTCTTTGCTGCGCATAAGAATACATTGATTACACCATTAGATGGGCATCCATTCGTTTTAAACTGCCTACCCCGGTGACACCTGGGAACGCTTCCATCGTTCTTTAAGACATATTTGGCATGATGTCGTCATAACCACTTTAGCCAAGTTAGTGCAACTGCAGATAAGCAGCAGTGAAGGATTAGTAAGTCTTTTATTTGAAACTCTGAAGCTGTCGATAAACCATCAACATTCGTCATTTCGGTTTCTCCTCAGACTGCAAGCTTGTTACTATTTCACTGTATTAACACGTTTGTGAAGATTCTCAGTCAGGCGTTAAGATAAATCCTTTTAAAGTAAACCTATTCGCACTATTGCACACAAATGAGCTCCCCAGTGGCACAGCGGTATGTCTGCGGACTTACAACCCTAGAATCCGGGTTTCGATACCCGTGGTGGAGAGGAGCACGGATAGCCCGTAGTGTAGCTTTGTGCTTATCTTCAAATAAACAAGCACACAAATAAATTAGTACATTTAAACGTGAACTGTTTGTGTCACTGAACATTGATAGAAAAGGAATTAATTAAAAAGTCTGTTTTGTTTGTTTGTTTTAAGCGCAAATATTACATAATAGGCTTTCTACGCTTTGTTCACCACGAGGAATCGAACCGAGGATTTTAGCCTTGCAAATCCGTAAACTTACCGCTGACCCACTGGGGACAAATTAAGTAGTTCTTTGAAAGTGAAGGAAACGGTTTCCTAATGTCGTACACCAACGTAACAAAAATAAATGAAGAATACAAAGAAAACATATTCAGTTCATTGTACAATTATTCACACATTCTCACTGCATCATGTGGCCTGACGTCGTATTCCATTTTGAGAGTCAACTAGCGGATAATCTTGGAGATCTCGTAGACCATTTCGCACCATCCGGAAGGGACTATCGTAAAAATAAAAAAAAAGATAACCTTAGGGATTTCAGCCTTCATCAGCGGTTTTGAGAGTGCTTGTGTCGTCGGAATTCTTTGATCGTAATTTATCCATCAAATTATTACTTTGTTTTTGTGCCGTTCACTACCGGCGGAGGCGCTGGAGTCTACATAATGCATCATATTGCGATCCTACTAATTATCGCAAAGAAATCACAAATATACATACAATAAGGTCAAATATTCTCGGTCAAAACTATATCTTGGTCAAATTATACACGTATTTGTTTAGTTTGTAATATTTTGTGATTACTTTGTGGCCAGTTTGTGGTGATTAGTACGACCCTCATATTGAGTAGTTCTGTGTTTTCGCCTGTTAGAAGTTACTGTAAAGAACTGACCAAAGAAATTGGGTGAATTCATTTATTTTATATGTAAATATCTTGTAGACTCAAGCGGTATTTTGTATGATTAATTTCATTTATTGGTGGTATTTTTGTTTAATTTTCTATGCAACTCATATGTTATTAGGAATACTGTGATCAATAAAGTCGTGGACCACAAGCTTAGATAGTTTAGAAAAATGTGTTTAAGGAGCTGATGTGGTCTATCTGTATTTTTAGGGTTAACTGTGTTTTCCAAATATCATGAAATGTATCAGCATTTAATACGTACACTTAACATCCAATGAAAAATATTTTTCTTTGTTATTGATTGAGTTAACCACGTGAACTTAAAACATTTGGATTCTTCCTTTTCTCACCCTTCTTCATTTCCAACAACTTTATTTACGTGTTCCGTTAGAGATGACTCACGTCTAATTTATCTTCTTTCCAGGGGCACAAGAATATGGAGAGGCAGCGGCCTACATTCAAGCACAGTTTGAAGCGAAAAACAAGTCCACAACTAAAGAGATATACTGCCACATGACTTGTGCCACGGACACAACAAACATCCAGTTTGTGTTTGATGCTGTAACGGACGTGATTATAGCAAACAACCTGCGAGGTTGTGGGTTGTATTAAAATGTAGTGTGGCTGGCTGCGTTGAAATTGATATCAACTGGACGAGAAACAAGCTTCCGACCGAGCAGTCGCAGATTTCGTCTGTTTACTGTCTTGTTGCTGGGTTCGAGAGTTCCTTACCCTGGGAATCACGTTTGGTTTCACTCTGTATAACACTTGTGTCGTCACCTTCTGTTTCAATGTATTCTCTCCTGTAATTTTTTCTTGTTGGTTTGTACAGTGCATGTTATATGATTTTGCTGGTGATTGATGCTTATACAAAAGAGAAAAACGTGAAAATTGTGATGGTTGTGCGAATTAGATATTATTGCATTGTAGAGGCTTCTATAATTTTAATTTCATTGATATAATGCAAAAGACTGAGAAACAAAAAGATAACACTTCAGACATAGAGCCCCAAGTGTGAAGTGCATCTTTTTGTACGTTATTAAAGCTAACATGTGAATATGTCATACTGGTAGTAACATTTATTCTAAGGTGTTTACAGCCACATAATGCCATGTGCTTTACGTTTATTTGGTACTATGAGGCCACCTTGGTCTTGCACTAAAATGAAGAGTAGAGACTGAGTACCCCGGTGGTCACTTTTGGGTTTTACAGAACTCAAGTCTGTTTAGAATCAAAAAAGAGAAAGAGAAGTACGGGCCTGCAGATATTCAAAATGATGTCACAAATTTAACACATAAGCCGCTGGTCCACGGCTTTGATGTAATTAGACACGTTAAACATTAGTTAGAATAAATAAAAACATGGGAAGAACGGAAATTTTTTGTCCGTAAATAATTAGTCACAACAAGAATAAGATGTTTTTATATATACATCAGTTTTGAGTAATATAAGTGAATATGTTTGGATGTGACCATTTTTTTTTAATGTCTAATGCTTATTTCCCTCGCACACATACATACACACACAAACACACCACCGATTTTAATTTCTGTGGTATAGCAACTTAGCTCGTCCCATACACTTCTCGTGGTTCGTGACATTTAGCTTGACAAAATTTAATTTATTTTCTTTCGGTTTTAACTCGGGGAACCTTAATTAATACTGTAATTTGAGTTAACTTAATTACACCCTGGCAACACGTTTCAATAATCGTAATCCGTGTACACCCGAAAGATGCAAGTCTTTGGGATGAAAGGAATGTTCTGGGACCACGGCTCTTGTGGCAACAAACTGACTATCATTTAAAGCAAACATGGCCACACAGTAGCCTTTAGATTCTTCTCGCTCACTTTTTTGTTTTCCTTTTGGGTATGCAGTATCTGCAATTTATCGAATAGAATTTTCACATTTAAGGCGTACTAAAGTTCCACTGCTGAAAATTGTTTCGTGTTCTCGAAAAAAAATACATTTATACATTCGCTTAACCGACGTCTTAAGTGAAAGCACTACAGGTTGGTGTTAATGTTTTTCTTCCTTTTTAATGCCACAATAGCCATGCTCTTTAAGTCAAACATTCATTCTCATTGTTGACGTAAAACCTTATATACAAAGATGTGTGTGTGTTAAAAAAGCGTTGATCTTGTTCTGTCTATATAGGTTGCATCTAACAATATGTTGAATTGGGGAACTTAAGTAGCCACAAGCTTAGGTTTCTGAATAAAATCATACTAATAAACCATCGTGACGAAATACAGTAGTCCTCTATAGTCACGGCTGGTTGAAACTTCTCACTGTCTTTAGCTAACATTTGTTGCACTTAAGCACAGAATGTTGTGTCTACAGTTCGCTTCTTTGTTTCGTGGTCGACAGCTGACATTAAATCCCAGCTGGTGCTCTCTACCATGTCGCGACCAGATCTAACTTATATATTTAGCTGTTATGACCACGTTTCCTTAATCGCATTTATCTCTATCCATTTAGGTCTGTGATTTTTAGCTAAAGCTAATTTCCATATACATGAATTCATCCGTTTTTGTTCAGACCTAAACGTTTGTGTACGAGCAAAATTTTAGGTGTTTTGTGAATAGCATTTCCCACTTGTAACAAAAAGGCAAAGCTTGATGCCAACGTAGGAGTAAGCGGCAAAAAGCTTTGCCTTACATTATCTTTACTGTTAATTAAAAGTTTCTAATCCATAAAACCGAAGCCAGCTGTTTCAATTAATGATTATACTATATAATAACAATAATAATACCACTTATAGAAACTCTTTAAACAATCCTTTTCCAAGTGTTATTTCAGAGCAGCAATTCGTAATAACGAAAGAGTGTTAGTGTATACACAGAGAGTAAGACTGTAGAGAAACTTCCTCGCATACTTCTGTTTAAAGAAAAAGCTCTATCGTATGGAATTCTCCATCATCAAATAAGTTGGTCTGATGAAGGTTTGAAACACGAGGATTTGTTCGCAATGGAACAGTTACCTATGCTACAAAATTGAGAGATGAAACAAACAAATGAAAGAACATGTGATATTATAAATGAAACAAAAATTCCAAAAAAAAAACGCTAACTGTGCTTTGTTGTTGTTTTTTAGACTCAAATAATTTCTAAAGTTATGAACTTTCTTATAGTAAATATCTATTAGATCGCCGTCATAATAAAAAGTACAACAGCAACATTGGAAATGCTCACTGCAAACAAATATATATATTTTAGTGATAAATAATGAGCAACTAAGGACTATCACAGACAGACTTTACACCACATTTTTTTAAAACAAAGCATATCATTTGCGGTCCTTCTAACGAACCCGTCCACCGACAACTTTGTCACTGTTGTTGTTGAGTGTACATTTTGTTGTAGAGAAATGTAACTCACATTTTAGTTCCTCAAAACATTAGGAGATAATTCAGTTCGGTCACTGACCTACTATTGCACTGTTAAGATAAAAAAACAACAACGTGATCTAAACATATTTTAGAAACATATTTTTTAATTTTAGAAATAAACATGAAAAGAGAGTAAAAATTTGTTGTTTAATTTTATATACTTAATTAATTCCACTTCCCAATCTATCTATAACACATATGTTCGTACAATGACAGACCTTTTAACTAACGGGTTTGACCACTTTTATAGCGAATCATGTAGCTTGAATTGCATGAAGGAATCTTTTTCTGCTGCAGTTTATTTGTCGAAAGGTATGGTTGCAGTTAGTTGACAGATGTCAGATGAATATTATGATGACATGTGCGATGTACAAGTTTATCCCAAAGATGTTCAACTACATTGAGATGCGGTGTATATACTGACTGGAATTACCTTCATAACCTTCGACTTCAATAGTAGATAATAGCGAGTAGTGGGTTGTTTCATTATCGTCTTGGAAGAGTTCTTATACACGTGAGTGAAAATTCAGCATCGTGGTTTGGACATGGTCGACAATAACGTTGAGGTATACTCTGGATGTTATTTATTGCAGCATTGTGGTGTGGACATGGTCGACAATAACGTTGAGGTATACTCTGGATGTTATATATTGCAGCATTGTGGTGTGGACATGATCGACAATAACGTTGAGGTGTACTCTGGATGTTACTTATTGCAGCATTAGTGCTGCAATATATAACATCCAGAGTATACCTCAACATTATTGTCGACCATGTCCACACCACAATGCTGCAATAAACAGCATCCAGAGCATACCTAAATGTTATTGTCGACCATGTCCACACCACGTGGTGTGGACATGATCGACAATAATGTTGAGGTATACTCTGGATGTTATATATTGCAGCATTGTGGTGTGGACATGGTCGACAATAAAGTTTTTGCAACATTGTGGTGTAGACATGGTAAAAATAACATTTAGATATTTCGATGACGAGGAACCCACTTTGAGACTAATAATGGCTGGAGACGGCTTGAATGGGTAATGAAGAAAAACTTTAATATAAGTTTAACATAACAGCAAATGTACAACGTTTCGACAAGGTTTTGTCATCATCAGGTACATTAGGGACGGCTAGCGCAGATAGCCCTCGTGTAGCTTTGCGCGAAATTCAAAACAAACAAACAAACAAATCGAGAAACAACTAAATTTAAGACAGTAATCTGAAAATTAGAGGGTCATGAATTAAGACGCTTTTCTTTTCTTTTATGTTTTATAGTAAAACTAGTTACTGAGAGATGTTATTATTTCCACAATGCAATTTCATCACAAACCATTTTCATTTGATTGAAATATGTTTGTATAATTTTTTCTTACTTAATTTATCCGAATATATACACAATTAGCAATGTAGTTCCCAGCTGCACTTGACGACAAGGTTCATGTTATTATTCAGTTTACCATTAATCCTTTAACCCTAGAAAAGTTATAGTTATAACTTTTATAACAGTTATTCTTCAGTGAGGTTCGATTCTGATACTTGATTGTAAGCTTAGTAAAGATATATTTTGATTTGTTATCTGATTTACACTCTGATAATGTACTTCATCTGAATGGTAACATCCACACGATAATTAAATTTGGTCTGATCATGTACTTCATCTGAACGGTAACATCCACACGATAATTAAATTTGGTCTGATCATGTACTTCATCTGAACGGTAACATCCACACGATAATTAAACTTGGTCTGATCAGGTACTTCATCTAAACAGTAACATTCACGCGATAACTAAACTTGGACAATGTTTTTGGAGACATTTATATTTGTAACAAAATTTAAAACAGCATTGAAAATAGAATTAACTTACTTATCGTGCAGCTCCCACCAGTTGCACAGCGGTATGTCTGCGAACTTACAACGCTAGAAACCGGGTTTCGATACCCGTGGTGGGCAAAACACAGATAGCCTTTTGTGTAACTTTGTGCATAACTACAAACAAACTTATAATGCATGTTTTTGTGTGTGTATACAAATAATTTTAATAAAGGTGTTAAGTCAAGAGGCACAAATAAGTTGACCTGGTGATAATGATTATATTAAAAAAAAACAACCAAAAATGAAACATCGCATGGTAATTGAATTTTACATCGTTTTTCTCTAGTTGGTTCTATAAAAGTATAAATAAAAACAAGTGTTTGAGATGCTCGTGACATTCACCTAGTGATATTCTCAGGTATCCTACTCTGACAGTCTTAGAGATAAGTGTTATAACAGCAAGCTCCAGGAACGTCAGGCAAAACATCATGGAGTTAAACTGAATTTCTCTTACTCTGACTGAGTTTGAAACAAGAAAGAAAATAAACACTTTGTGAACAGAGTAAAAAAGCGATCTTCATTCACACTGAAAACAAAGTTAACGCATTCAGTTATGAAACAACGTTTAATTGTGTTCTGAAAAACTTTTACCTCAGAAAGCTACTTGTCCTAAGAGAAAAACCTGCCCAAGACTGACAGAGTACACCGTTCTATGCAAACCACAAAGCTCTATAATATCATCTCTGTCAGTGTGCACGCGCTACTCACGTCACTGTTGAAAATTCTAAAAGAAGAACAGAGAGAATACCAACGTTTTACCTGACCCTCTAATGGAAAATATCATTGAAAAATTCCACACAGTATGCTCTGCTATACAGTATTCTTTCCCACGAGAGGAAAGATCCAGAACAATAAATACCCATTTAGAAAGGAATTTAACTATATTCCATGACTACACACACGACTAGAAGCTTGTATCTTCCAGAAAAAATTAAAATTATTTGTGAACATGAAAAGCTCACATTACTAAACTATAAAAAAGACAGGGAACACTAAATACTCTTTGCATACTAGAATATGATATTTGTAAAAAAACATTCATATAAACATATAAGTTCTTCCTATATTTCTATTAATACATTCAGTTCTGTAAAATAGCTTTAATGATTATTTCTGCTTACCCCATAAATCAAAATTTTTATACGTGGTTGTTTTCATTTTTATAACGTCGTCTTCCTACATGATAAAGCTTTCCAAGACTGAAAATCAAAATAATAAAAAAACTGGTAGCTATCATTCATACCCTTAATGCATTGTACTAAGCCGATAAAAATGGTGGCTGTCTAAGGTCTAAAGCTAAGCCTTTTAGAAGACAAGTTCCAGTTCTTGTTTTTGGAATAGTTACTACACATTTCCTTTCGTTGAACTTGCTCAAGGAGTATAATGACAGCATTTAGCCATGTGTTAAAGCTCAATGAGTGTTTTAAGAAGTACAATAGGAAAGTTTTGCAATCACACATCGACAACTTATCGACTTTTGTTTTTCCTTGTATGTTATGGAATTCAAGTGGATGTTGCGATTTATGTTTCAATCTCGACAACCATTGTTAGTACAATTTTAACTAGTATCATGTCCTTTTGTCACAAATTAAAACCTTTTGATAGTTTTAACAATTTTTCCCATTGTGTATAATATATTTAATAAATAAGATTTCAACCTTTATTGAAATTAGCACGTAGCTGTAGAAGCCTAGTATGCCAGTGATGGACGTAAATTGTAATGATATATCTGTAGAAACCTGGTGTAAGACTATTAGATTAAAATATTTGGGAATTATCTGTAGAAACCAGGTGTACCACTACTACATTAAAATATTTGGGAATTACCTGTAGAAACCTGGTGTACCACTATTAAATTAAAATATTTGAAAATTATCTGTAGATGTCTGGAATACCATTACTGGATGAAAATCTTTGTCAGTTATCTGTAGAAGCCCGGTATATCATTACCAAATGAAAATATTTGTCAATTATCTGTAGAGGCCTGTTGTATCATTACTGTATGGAAATCTTTGCCAATTATCTGTAGAAGCCTGGTGTATCATTACTGGTGAAAATCTTTGTGAATTATCTGTAGAAGCCTGGTATACCACTATTGGATATCTCAAAACTATTAAAATGACTCGTAAAATAATTATCGAAATCTACCTAATTAGATTTGCCCTACGACGATTGCTTTATTCACAAAATTTCAAAATAAGTTAAAATATAGTACTCATAGAACCATGACAGATATACAAGAAACTTCCAATTCTTTCATAACTATTCTAAAGAAAGCAGTCATCTTAAACTATGATATTTTACGCCATATACAAAACTGAAGTCTGTAAAGTCTTGTATTCCACCATTTTGTCTCCCAATATGGTCCGAGCGTGACCCATTAGTTATCATGCCAAATAATGAATTTGCAGGTTTTTCTTCTC